TGGTATTTCCCTGTGCTGGATAGCTTTAATGTGAACTTGACACACCTGGGTTGAGGGAGCCCCAATTGGGGAATTGCCTCTATTGGACTGGCCTATGGCCATGTCTGAGGGGCATCTTCTTGATGAGTGATGTGGGAGGGCCCAGCCCACTGTGGGTGGTGCCACCCCTGGGCAGGTGGGCCTGTGTTGCATAAGAAAGCAGGCTGAGCAGGGGCCAGGGGAGCAAGCCAGTAAGCAGTGTTCCTCCGTGGCCTGTGCTTCAGCTCCTGCTTCCAGGTTCCTGCCCTGAGTTCCTACCTTGGGCTCCCTGATGAACTGCAACCTGGGAGATGTAAGACAAATAAACCCTTTCCTCCCCCAAGTTGTATTGGTCAGAGTATTCTGTCACGGCAATGAAGAACAAACTAGAACACCCGGTTTATTTTAGCTCACCCTTCTTGTACAGTAGAACATCAGATAGCCACCGTTTGCTTAGCTCAATGAGCTTCAACAGCTCTTTTTTCCCACCTTTATCTGAGGGTCAAGGAACGGTCAAATACTTGTTATGAATTCCACCATTTAACCATCTTCCCTAAATTATCAACACATTCCTCCTAACTTGGCAGAACAATTCGGTACTTGTGTGTAAAACACACAAACTCCTGAGTTAAGGTGAAAGATCATAAAGTAAACAAGCAAGCCTGCCACAGCTCAATGTACATAATGGCTGTGCTTATACTAATAACTCCCAACAAACCTGGAATTATAGGTGGTTGGGAGCCACCTGATATGGGTTCTGGGAATGGAACTTGGGTCCTCTAGAAGAGCAGTACACACTCTTAATCATTGAGCCATTTCTCAAGCCCCTTTTGATATTTTTAAGATGATCTCACAGTGTAGCCCATGCTGACATCCAACACAATCATGATTCTGCCTGGTTCTGGAATTATAACATGTGTTACCAAGCCTGGATCAGGTCTGCTCCAACCCACTTCATTTATTTTTATCTTACTATTTGTAGCCACTGAATTAAGGTTTAGCTAATGGCCAGGGAGTATTGTTTTGGTCTATTTTAACTTTTTTTTTTTTTGGTCTTTTTTTGAGACAGGGTCTCCCTGTAGCCCCAGCTGTCCTGGAATTCACTATGAAGACCAGGCTGGCCTTGAACTCACAGAGATCTGCCTGCCTCTGCCTCCCGAGTGCTGGGATTAAAGGTGTGTGCCACCACCCCTGGCCTCTATTTTAACTTTTACTGTGATAAAATATAGAAGTTGCCACTGTAACCATTTTGAAGATAGTTCAGTGGCATGAAGCACATGCACGCCACTGGGGGACATCCCCACTGTCACCTCCACGACTTCCCATCTTTCCAAACTGAACCTCTGTGTCTAGTAACACCAATTCCAAGTGCCAACACCCACCATTCCACTATGTCTCATGTATCTTGTATAAGCGGAATCATACAGTATTCTTCTGTGACTGGCTTATTTCACTCAGTATAATGTCTTCCAGGATCATCCATGTTGTATGTCAGAATTTCATCCTATTTATTTATTATTTATTTTGTCTTTTTGAGAAAGGGTCTCCCTGTAGCCCCAGCTGGCCTGGCACTTCCTATGTAGACCAGGCTGGCCTCAATCTCAGAGATCCACCTGCCTCTGCCTCCTGAGTGCTGGGACTAAAGGGGAGTGCCACCACACCCAGCAGAATCTCCATAGTCTAATGTGTATGTATGTATGTATATGTGCCACATTTGTTTAACTTGTCACCTCTTTGGATGTTTGAATTATTCCTACCTCTTGGCTGTCACAAATAAGGCTACAGACATGGGTTTATATCTCTTACACTTAATTTTTTGGGGGGTGCTTGTCATGGCATGCATGTGGAGGTGAAAGGAGGATAACTTGTAGGAGCTGGTTCTCTTTCCACCATGTGGGTCCCAGGGTTGGAACTCAGTTCATTAGGTTTGGGGGCAAGTGACTTTATGCTGAGCCATCTCATGTGCTACAGACATGGGTTTATATGTCATTTTTATGACAGTGGCAATGGCTGTCAGCTTGTTGGAAATTATGTAGGAGTAGCCCAGAGGTGAAAAAGGGTTCAGAACTCACAAGACTAGCCATCCTGGGAAGGGAAGTTGGCCCCAGGCCAATGTGGATAGCAAATATGCAAGCTGGTCAAGCTCTTGACGTTTGCTCTTCCACTGCAAAAAAAGGGTGTGGGGGCGGTTAGGGGAGGACTGGAGAGATGGCTGAGCAGTTAAGAACACTTGTTGCAGGGTTGGAAAGATGGCTCAGTGGTTAAGAACACTGGTTGTTTTTGCAGAAGACCCAGGTTCAAATCCCAGCACCCACATGGCAGTTAACAACTGTCCGTAACTCCAGTCCCAGGGGCTCCAACAGCCTCTTCTGACCTCTGAGGGCACTGCACGATACGAGTGCACTTACTTACATGCAGGCAATACATGCATACACATAAAAATAAAATAACACGTTACTCTTGCTGAGGACCCAGTTCATGCTGAGTTCCTAGTACCTACATGGCTGCTCACAACCATCTCTAACTCCAGTTCTAGGGGATCCCATGCCATGTTCTGGCCTCCAGGCACCATGCACACAGAGGGTGCACATACATACATCCAGGCAAAACATAAAGTAAAAAATCTTTAAAGAAAAAAAGGGTCCTAGACCTGAGGGCACATGAACCTGAATGGGGGAGGGTATGGGTCAGTACTAAGGCCCACCGTGGGGACGGCTGGTCTATGCAGACTTGCCTTTGAGGGCTCAGGCAGGTCTACCCCTTGGAGTGGAGATCCAGGGAGCAGAAATCCAGTAGATTTTTTTTTAGAGGCTGGCAGCACTTCAGCAGTGAAAAGCCAATCAGCCTGATCTTGGCCACCAGCAGCCGAAGAGTTGAGAAAGAAAAGCCAGTTTGGACATATGACATCTTCAGAGCTTTATGAAGGGCTGCTTTCCTCATTATCTCATGCTGGCTCTCCCAGTTCACAACCATAGTTCCCTCATAGGGTTAGGACTAGATGCCACATGGCAAGGATCCCAGCCAGAAGGGGCACTGACATATGTCTGAGTTGAGCAAGGCAGAGAAGCAGCTCAGGACACTCAGATTATTTCCCCATACTACCCTAACCCTCCAGAACACTAGGGTCAGAGTCCCCTAGGCATCAGGCTCCCAGCTCCACACCCTAGCTACACGCTAGAGGGCCAGGGTCTGGGGTTGTTTGAACTTGGTGAAAAAGGGCCACAGTGCTTCTGGTGCCACCCATAGCCCCCACCCCCTAGAGGCTAAGATGCCCTGTGACCTGGGGTGGTGATTATCAGCTCCCTGTTGTCCAACCCCTCCTCCAGCCTGCCACCTGGGTAAAGATAAAGTTCAGGGGTCAAAGGCTGGAGGGAACTATCAGGGAGGGGCAACACTGAGAACCATAGCCCTGCTGCAGCCCTCCTGTGCTCAGGCCTAGAGCTTCTACCTCCTCCTGACCCCAAGAGCTGGCCAGGTGTTGGCTGTGACTAAGGTCACATCTTATCTTCCTGTTTGTCTGGGTTGGGGCTTTACCCATTTCCTGGGGATTGTCCCTGGAGGGCTGGGGGTGGGGAGTGTGACTCAGCAAGCACCTTTGCTTAACTTCCCATAGCAACCAATGCTGGGCCTAGAGACCATAACCCAGGACCTAGAAGAACACAATTCCCACCCCAACTCTAGACTACAAGAATTGGGACTTGTCTAGGCTGGGCTGGGAGGCAGCTGGGAAGGGATGAGCAGGCCTAAGGGCTTTCCTGCAAATTTTAAATAGATCACCCAGGTGTATGACCTGGTAACATCCGTGCATCTCTGCCCCAGGTCCCCCAGCTTGTAGATAACCTTCATTCAGAGAGAAAGAGAGTCACAGGAGGGGATGTCCTGGACCCTTCGGGAGCAGAGAAGGTGGCCCTGCCTGGCAGCTCTGGGTGTGACAGGAAAGGGGATGCTCAAGTCAGGAACCCAAGGGAAGGGACCCAGCTCTAGCTCCAGGAGCCCCAGTAGGCAGCAGCTCCTTGCCCATGGCTGTCAGGGAGGATCTGCCACTGGAATGGTTAACCCAGACACCTCCAGCAGCCAATCACAGAGCCCAACAGGAAATACCTGGGAGAGGTCCTGGAGCTGGGGCCAGGCAAGTTGAGCCCAGCCCTAGTCTGGCCCCAGGCAGCCCCAGCAGCCCACAGCCAGCCCAGACGCAAGCAATCTCCACACAGCACGGAACAGGAGCACTTTGGGGCTTGAGGCATGGCGTTCCTAGCTTGGCTCACACCAAGGCTCCTGTTGGCCATGCTTGTGGTCACAGCAACAATGGCCCAACCCATCCAGCTGTTAAGCCTGCTCACCTCTGGCCAGGGAGTTCTGGATCGAGAGGCACTGGACAGCCTGTTAAATATGCTTGCGGTCCGTGTGCACTGCACCAACGGGCCGTGTGGAAAGGTAACAGCCCCACCCGATGGGTCCCCCAGCCTCAGCCCCTTCCTGCCCGCTCCACCCTGTGGCAGGCAGCAAAGGGACCTGGGCAAACTCCAGGAGGCGGGTCTGGAGGCTGGTGACTGAACCTACCTGCAGACTGGAACTTCCTCTCTCCTGCTGGGGGCTCTGACAGGCAGGGTCCCCCTCCTGGGACACACAGTTCCACTTCCCATGCTATCAAATCTGCAGTGACTCCTGGATGACCCTTACCCTCCAGGATGGGAGATTAACTGCTGAAGACCCCTTTGTGTAGGCACCTAGTTGAGCCAACAGAGCAAGGGGCAGAGCAGGACATGAGATAGCCAATGACAGCCACTGCGACCTGTGTCTTTCTGGTGGGCCCAGACCAACCCACCCCTGTCTACCTGTTTCTGCCCACAGTGCCTGTCTGTGGAGGATGTCTTGGCCTTGGGCAGGTCTGACAAGCCAGAGCTTGTCCCAGGGTCAGTCCTGGAATCCAGATACATTGGTCATCTCAGTGCTGCCGCTGCCCTCTACCTTAGCAACCCGGAGGGCACATGTGAAGATATCCAGGCTGGCCGCTTGGCCTCCCGTGTGGACCATTACCTAGCCCTACTGGAGAGTCCAGAGGCCATGACTCTGGGCCTGAGCCAGCTACTGTGGAAGATTGAGGCCCATACTGCCAACCAGCCCACTGGGGAGGAGGTAAGAGTCCAGGGAGCAGGTATCTGGAGTGAGGAGGACCTAAGTGCCAAGGAAGGGAGGCTGCTACAGTAGGGGGGAACATCCCACACAGCCTCCCTGGCATTTGAAGACATAATTGGGAGATTGAAGTCTGATGGAAGTCAGAATGCATGTTCATTATTGAGTGAGGCAGGGACTGCAGGAGCCTGGGGGCACCCTCTGGGGAATGGGGGCCAGGAAAGCTCTGGCGCCCAAAGGAGGCCAGAGGGTGAAGTGAAGGCTGTTACCACCTGGGGAAGAGTTGGACTGTGGAGGGGAAGAGAGGGAGGGTCAGGTAGGCTGTGGCAGGCCAAGGTCTTTGGTGAAACCTGGAAAGTAGTATGAGGAGGGTCAATGGGAGGCCTATCCAGTGGGCTGTGCTAGGATGGATGGCAACAGTGGAGCTGGCCTCCAGGAGTTGACACTGAGGCTAGTCTCTTCTCTAGACTTGTATAGATGTCCCCCAGCTGCTGGAGGAGGCTGAAGAGGCAGGTGCTCCCAGCAGCCCTGGCCCAGTCCTGGCTGCCTTGCTAGACCACGTCAGGAATGGATCCTGCTTCCAAGCCCTGCCTAGCCCTCAGTACTTTGTGGACTTTGTGTTCCGGCAGCACAGCAGCGAAGCTCCCAATATCACGCTGGCTGGTGAGGCTTGGACTGAGACCTTCAGCCTCCACTCCTGGGGGAGGGGCAAGATTGGAACCCACAGACTATGTACTCACTGTTCTTCCTGCCAGAGCTGGAAGTTTTGATGCAACGCCTTGGAGTGGGTAGAGAGGACCACAGTGACCATGATGACCACAGTGACCATAGTCATCAGGGCAGGGAGACCAATTGCCAGACTTCTGAGTCCTGTGCCACCCTCAACAGCAGCTCCAGTGTATGGGACTCGGTGAGCCGCTCACTTATGTGGTTCTACAATAAGATGGGCTCACATCGGTCTGCTCCGGCCCCTGACTCTTTCCCTACTCCCCCCACCTCCAGGTATGCCTGAGTGCTAAGGATGTCATGGCTGTCTATGGGCTGTCTGAGCAGGCTGGGGTGTCACCTCAGGCCTGGGCCCAACTGAGCCCTGCCCTGGTCCAACAGCAGCTGAGTGGGGCCTGCAGCCACCAGCACAGTGTTCATACACAGGACCAGCTCAGCCAGGCAGAGAGTGAGTGCCTATCCCCAGGTGTGGGTATGCCTGCCTGGCCTGCCCCTGGGTAGTGGTAGTGGCCTCATAGCAGTGGGCCCCAAAGGGAGCATGGAGGAATGGGCATTGAGGAATGAGAAGGCAGGCAAGGGGGTGTGCTAGAAAGAAAAGCAGTGGGGTCTTGAGGAAGGAGAGCCGGGGAACAGATGCCTGGCCCCCATAGATAGCCTGCTCCAGCACCTGCTCATTCCTGGGCCCTGGGAAACAGGGGGCTCTCAGTGTGGCTTCACTTTCAGGGTATCTGTATGGCTCTCTGGCTACACTGATCATCTGCCTCTGTGCTGTGTTCGGCCTCCTGCTGCTCACCTGTGCCAAATGCAGCACAGCCACCCATTACATCATGCAGACCTTCCTGAGCTTGGCTGTGGGCGCACTCACTGGTGATGCCCTCTTGCATCTGACACCCAAGGTCAGCCCTCACTCGCCAGGGCCTTCCCCTCTCCTGCTGCCCTTCTCCAGTCCTGGCTCTTCAACCCTTGTGGGCCCTAAAGCCCTCAGTCAGCGTCCCCTGCTCCCCAGGTGCTGGGGCTGCACACACACAGTGGAGAGGACCACACCCATGAGGAGGTGGGCATCGGTGCACAGTCCACCTGGCGCCTGCTGGCTGCTCTTGGAGGCCTCTACATCTTTTTCCTGTTTGAGCGCCTCTTCAATCTCCTGTTGCCCAAGGACCAGGTCAGGCTCTAGGGAAGGGGTAGTTGGGATGGGTGGCCCTGTCAATGGGCTCTGACCAGCTTCTCCACAGGATTCTGAGAAGGATGGGCCCTGCAACCACGGTGGCCACAGCCACGGAGTGTCCCTGCAGCTGGCACCCAGCGAGCTCCGGCAGCCCAAGCAGCCCCATGAGGGCTCTCGAGCAGACTTGGTAAATGGTAAGCCCTGTCCCAGAGAGAGCTCCTTGATTGTCTCCTTGCCTAGATTCACCTTTGCTTCCCCCAGGTGTCAGAGGAGAGCCCAGAACTACTGAACCCGGAACCCCAGGAGCTGAAAGCAGGTGAGCCCTGAGGGAGATCCACCCAGGGATGAGGATCTGCTGATTGCCTTTGGGTAGATGGGCAGAACTTGGCCTAAGGGACCCTCGTTTGCCACGCCCGCAGAGCTGAGGCTGCTGCCCTATCTGATCACTCTGGGTGATGCGGTGCACAACTTCGCTGACGGGCTTGCTGTGGGCGCAGCCTTCGCATCTTCATGGAAGACTGGGCTGGCCACTTCTCTGGCAGTGTTCTGCCACGAGCTGCCCCACGAACTGGGTGAGCGCTGGGGTGTGGCTTGCAGGGGCGGGTCTTAGTGGTTGGGACCTCTTCTGGAAGTGAGCCAGACAGAATATATGCAGAAAGGGACCCGGCCTTCGTATGTCAGAGAGTCGGAGAGTCGGGTCCTTTGTGGGCGAGGCTAGATAGAGGCAGGGGCGGGGTCGCAGGAAGGTGGGCGAGGCTGCTGGAGCTGGACCCGCCTTCGAATGGGTCTGTGCTGTTGGCCCACTGGAATGCGGTCTGATGGGCGGTACCTGGCAGGTGGGCGGAGCTCTTAATGCAACCTGCTGGATTCCAGGGGACTTCGCCGCCCTCCTGCACGCTGGGCTGACGGTGCGGCGTGCGTTGCTGCTAAATCTGGCCTCTGCACTCACGGCGTTCGCTGGCCTTTATGTGGCTCTCGCAGTCGGAGTCAGCGAGGAGGGTGAGGCCTGGATTCTGGCTGTAGCCACCGGCCTCTTCCTCTACGTGGCGCTCTGTGACATGGTTAGGATGGAGAAAGGCCTGCGCTGGGGTCTGGGGAGCTGACCAGGGGCTCCACCTAGCTGGCCACTGAACTGAGGTCCACCTTCTTTTCAGCTTCCGGCCATGATGAGCGTGCGGGACCAGCGGCCCTGGCTCCTTTTCCTGCTTCACAACGTGGGTCTCCTAGGCGGCTGGACCGTCCTTCTGCTGTTGTCCTTGTACGAAGACAACATCACCTTCTGACAACCCTGTCCCACCCAGTCCCAGTCCCTGTCTTTTGACTGACTCTGCTTTATCTTTGTGAGACATTCATCCTTTGCACCCACTGGGTAGCTAGAGAACCCAAGGCCTTACTTATTTCCTATCTCCAAATTCAATAAAGACTTCTTGCCAATCAAATTCAGCTGCTCTCTCTCCTTCTTCAGGACAGCTGCACTGGGGATCCTGTGTACAACCAGCTTTTCTTCTCTATTACTAAGCCCCGCCCAGGAACAGTCAGAGAGGTTTACCAGGATGTGGCTGCAGGTAATACCATGTCCCTAGTCAAAACTGACATCACCACTGCTTATATAGATGAGGGGTCATTTCTGTCATGAACACAGCCTAGACGTGGCCAAACCAGCAGTTCAAGCCATGGGCATTGGGCTGCTCTTGGCAGAATTGGCTATCCAGAATCCCCTTGCAGTAGTCTCCTGAGGTTACCATATAAGTCTGCCCTAGACTGGGTGCCTAAAACTAAAGAAATTAATTCTCTCACAGTTCTGGAGGCCAGAAGATCAAAGTCCAAGTGTAAGAAATGGGTCTGAAGCCTCAAGAAAATGACCACACAATCCAAAATAGTTTGGCAAGGCAAAAAGTTCTGCTTCTAGCCAGGCATGGTGCCACATGCCTTTAATCCCAGCACTTGGAGGCAAAGTCAGACCAATCTCTGGGAGTTCAAGGCCAGCCTGGTCTCTATAGCAAATCCAGGCCAGCTGTGACTACAGGGAGAACCTGTCTCAAAAAAGACCAAAAAAATTTTTTAATTATTATTTTTATTTTATGTGTATGAGTGTATTACCTGCATGTAGATAAGTGCACCTGTGTCCTGCAATGCAGGCAGAAGCCAGAGGAGGCTGTCGGATCCCCTGGAACTGGAGTTACGGACAGTTGTTAGCTGCCATATGGGTGCTGGGATTCAAACCTAGGTCTTCTGCAAGAACAACCAGTGTTCTTAACTGCTGAGCCATCTCTCCAGCCCCCTTTTTTTAATTAAAAAAATTTATTATTTTTATTTTATGCGTATGCATGTATTGCCTGCATGTAGATAAGTGCACCTGTGTCCTGCAATGCAGGCAGAAGCCAGAGGAGGCTGTCGGATCCCCTGGAACTGGAGTTAGGGACAGTTGTTAGCTGCCAGATAGTTGTTAGCTGCCATATGTGTGCTGGGATTCGAACCTGGGTCTTCTACAAGAACAGCCAGTGTTTTTAACTGCTGAGCCATCTCTCCAGCCCTGCATCCATGATCTTAATTGCTGAGCCATCGTCTCTCCAGCTCCCCACTATTTTTTTTTTTTTTTTTTTTTTTTTTTTTTTTTTTTTTTTGTGTAGCCCCAGCTGTCCTGGAACTTGCTATGGAGACCAGGCTGGTCTTGACCTCATAGAGATCCACCTGCTTCTGCCTCCTGAGTGGTGGGATTAAAGGCCTGGCTCCCTACTAAGGTTTTTGAAATATTTTTGTTTGTATTTTGAGACAGGGTCCCCCTGTAGCCCCAACTGGCCCAGAATGCGCTATGTAGACCAGGCTGGCCTCGATCTCATAGACCGCCATCTGCCTCTTCCTCCGGAGTGCTGGGATTAAAGGCATGTGCCACCACACCTGGCTTTTGTGTGCCTGTGTGTGTGGAAAGAAGTAGTACTTGTGATCCTAACCTCTGAACCATCCTTCCAGATCCTGTAAATGGATCTTTGATATGGTCACCTACTGTCTTGGGCATCCAAACAGCCTTTTATCTACTGGGCGGGTAGGTTAGGTGTAATATAAGCACATTTCTGTTCTTTTCCCGGCCATGACTATAAATCCGTGCTTTATTTCCTAGGATTTCAGGGCTCTGGAATCAGGCACCAAGACAGCCCTGGGAGCAGACTGCTCTGGCTCTGGGACCTGGTCTTTCAGTCCAAGCCCCTGCCACGCCAAGCCGGGCCGCTAGGGGCCGCCGTTTGCTCGCAGCCGCTGACGCGCAGGCGCGTCGGCGAAGTAGCCCGGAACCCATCTGCTCTACCTCCAGGTCGGGTCCTCTGGGTCCGCCGGTCCGGGCGGACGGCGCAGGCGCAGAAGTTCGGAACCTGGTGGCCAGGTTTGCGCGTGCTGCGGGCCGAGTCCGCGGTGTTCCGGGTACCCTGGGTCGGCCGCTCCGGGCGTGGGGGCCAGTGGGCGCGCCATGTACGCCGTGTACAAGCAGGCGCACCCGCCCACCGGGCTGGAGTTCGCCATGTACTGCAACTTCTTCAACAACACTGAGCGCAACCTCGTGGTGGCCGGCACCTCGCAGCTCTACGTGTACCGCCTGAACCGAGACGCCGAGGTAGGACGCGCCCTCCGGGTGGAGAAACCGAGGCCTCGCCGTAGCAACCTCGGCAGGTTCACTGCAAGACCTGGGTTCTCCTGAGGGCTCCTGTCCGCAGAGCCTGTTCCACCACCACGTTGTCTGACCCCAATCTACCCTACGGGTACACCCGTGCCCTCAGTCTCCTACTTGCTGTTTGGTATTTTCTGTAGATTGTTGCAGACCTTCCATGTGCTTCATAATGGGGATATGACAATGAATGAGACCCTGGGGAATTGGGGAGGGAGACTTTTCACCAAATGAACACACACATTTAAACACAGGCTGTCACAATGCGGCAGAGAGACTAGGACCAGGCGGGAAGGAGGCTGGCTGTTGCAGACGTATGGACAGCGAACCTTTCTGAGAGCTGCAGCTTGTTGAGGGAAGAGCATTTCTAGCTAAAGAAGCAAGGCTAGATCTAGCCTGGGGACAGACTACTGGCAGGAAGTGTAGTGAAAATAGATAGATATAGGGGTGCTTTGGTTGCCAGAGGGACAACAGATGGTTCAGGAAGGCTTCTTGCAGGAGGCAGCTTCTGCTGGTAGTGGTGGTGCATGCCTTTGAACCTGGCACTCAGGAGGCAGAGGAAGGCAGACCTCTGTGAGTTCTAGCCAAAATTATATAGTGAGACCCTGTCTCAACAAACAAACTGAGGAAGCTGCTTTGTTTGATTGTTTGAGACAGGGTCTCACTATGTAGCCATGGCTGGCCTGGAACTCACTACCTAGACCAGACCAAGACATGCTTTTAATTCCAGCACTGGGGAGGAAGAAGCAGATGGAGGTCTATGAGATAGAGAGCAGCCTGGTCTACATAGCACGTTCTGGACTAGCTGGGGTTACAGAGAGACCCTGTCTCAACAAACAAACAAAAATATTTCAAAAAACTTAGTAGGGAACCAGGCCTTTAATCCCAGCACTCAGGAGGCAGAGGCAGGTGGATCTCTGTGAGTTCAAGGCCAGCCTGTTCTCCATACCAAGTTCCAGGACAGCTGGGGCTACAGGAAGACTCTGTCTCAAAAAGTCTCAGCAGAGATTTGCTTGTCTCTGCCTCCCAAGTGCTGGGACTAAAGGCATGTGCCACAATACCCAGCTTATTTTTATTTATTTATTTATTTATTTATTTATTTATTTATTTTGGTCTTTTTGAGACAGGGTCTTCCTGTAGCACCAGCTGGCCTGGAACTCACTATGTAGACCAGACTGGCCTTGAACTCAACAGAGATCCACCTGCCTCTGCCTCCTGAGTGCTGGTACTAAAGGCATGCACCACCATGCCCGGCCTATTATTTTATATTGTATCTGTATGTGGTGTGTGCACTTGAGTGCAGGTTTAGCTGGAGGCCAGAGCCATCAGGTACCCTTCGTGTTGGAGTTACAGTTATGAACCACCCACTGTGGGTGCTAGGAACTGAACTCAGTCAAGAGCAAGGGTTTGTGCACTGGAAGTTGAGGGAATGTTTGCGTTTTTAATGGGTGTGAAATAAAACAGATCCTTGAAACATAGGATGCAGCTGCAAATAGCAACTCCTGTGTTGTATGGCTATCCAGATAGCCTGGTGGCCTCAATGTAGTTGGGCTCCTTTCCAGAAGTTAGGGCCCTAGGAGACTAAAGCTGAAGATGCCCAGCACCGTAAAAGTCAAACTGGGAGGACATGGTTTCCTTGCTCCTACAGCCTGTTCTTTACAGCAGCCCCCAGCTCAGATACATTTGGAGGGAGATGTGTCTTTTTGTGGCTGTCTTGAATCTGTTCTGTAAATCTACTGTAAGTGCAGCCCTTGCTGGGTGACACCCACTCCTGGCACAGCTGGCTTGTGGGGTTGTCAGGAAAACTCAAGGCCTCCTTTCTGCTGTTTTTTGGTGGGGGGGGCAGAGGGGTGGTCTTGCCATGTAGCTCAGGCTGACCAGGAGCTCACAATCCTGTCTAGGTCTCCCCAGTAGCTGGGACCACAAGTGTGTGCTATCCCTTGACTCTGGCTAAAGCTTGTCTTGTGCTACTTATGCAGGGCTGCAGAGAATGAGTATATATAGCACGGGGGTGGGCTTCTGGGAAAGCTGGGGTGTCTGCCCAAAAAGGAGCCCTGTGGACAGAAGCAGAGGTTTTGAGTATGAATTAGTCCAGCAAATGTCTCTAGAATCTACTGACTTATATACAGACACTGAAAGGCAGGGCTTCCTCGTGGCAGAGGTGAGCCCTAGGTAGACTTTGTCTCTCAGAATGACTGAGTCCCTGAATGAGGTTGGGGCACCTGGTGTGTGGCCCCTCACTGCCTTCTTCTTCCCTCTAGGCCCTGACCAAGAATGATGGGAGCACAGGTGAGTGTGGGGTGGCATAGCCCCTAGCCCTGCACCTGGGAGTGTAAGGGTGACCTGGGGGCAGGACCCAGACCTGACTTGCTAATCCCTCCCCAAGAGGGGAAGGCCCATCGAGAGAAACTAGAGCTGGTCGCCTCCTTCTCCTTCTTTGGCAACGTCATGTCCATGGCCAGCGTGCAGCTTGCAGGTGCTAAACGTGATGCCTTGCTCCTCAGTTTCAAGGATGCTAAGGTGAGCAGTATGCATCTGGCAGGAGGTCCTGGGCATAGTAGTGTGTGGCAGTTGAGTAGTGCTGGGTTGGGGTCTGCTGGTATCATCACAGTTGGTATTGGAAGAGCAACAGTTCTGACCTCCTGCCTCCAGCTGTCAGTGGTGGAGTATGACCCAGGCACTCATGATCTGAAGACCCTGTCTCTACACTACTTTGAGGAGCCTGAGCTTCGGGTAAGCCAAGCTTCCATTTCCCCAGGCTGAGCCCAGCACCTCTCTCCAAGTCCCCATTCCCCCAGGCTAAGCTCAGCACCTCCCTCCTCTGTCTCTTTTCCTGTGCCCCAGTGCTTCCCTCAGGTCTCCTTCCATGTGTCCCAGCTGATGTCCCCTCTGCCCCCAGGATGGGTTTGTGCAGAACGTGCACACACCTCGTGTGCGAGTGGACCCTGATGGGCGCTGTGCAGCCATGCTCATCTATGGCACACGACTAGTGGTACTGCCCTTCCGCAGAGAGAGCCTGGCTGAGGAGCATGAGGGACTCATGAGTGAGGGGTGAGTGCCAGGCTGGGGTGGCTGTGACTTTGAGGGTGCTCAGGAGCCCTGAGTTCCCCTCTGCCCTATTCCTTCCTGCTGACACCCTTGGTCCATAGGCAGAGGTCCAGCTTCCTGCCTAGCTACATCATCGATGTGAGGGCTCTGGATGAGAAGCTGCTCAACATTATTGACTTGCAGTTCCTACACGGCTACTATGAGCCCACCCTGCTCATCCTGTTTGAGCCCAACCAGACCTGGCCAGGGTGAGGCCCAGGGCCTTCTGCTATGACCCCTAGCTGTCTTGCCCAGGCAGGGTATATGTAGGGGGGTAGGGGTGACTGGGCCACTGGCCTTGAGAACAATGTAACTGCCTCTGGGTGACCTACCTACTACTCTAGGCGGGTGGCTGTGAGGCAGGATACATGCTCCATCGTGGCCATCTCACTGAACATCACACAGAAAGTCCACCCCGTCATCTGGTCCCTCACCAGCCTGCCTTTTGACTGTACCCAGGCCCTGGCTGTGCCCAAGCCCATAGGTGAGGGTCTGGCAGTGCCGAATGGCAGTGGGGGCAGGGGACAGCATTGAGCCATCTACCAGCCTGTGTCCACCTCCAGGTGGTGTAGTGATCTTCGCTGTCAACTCACTGTTGTACCTGAACCAGAGTGTCCCCCCATATGGTGTGGCTCTCAATAGCCTCACTACAGGCACCACTGCCTTCCCATTGCGTGAGTGGGGTGTACTATGGGCAGGGTGGGCTGGGGCAGATTGGGTTGTGGTCAGGGCAAGGCATCCAGTTTGGCATGACCATTTGCCCCGCAGGTACCCAGGAGGGTGTACGGATCACCCTGGACTGTGCACAGGCAGCCTTCATCTCCTACGACAAGATGGTCATCTCCCTCAAGGGTGGCGAGATGTGAGCCCATAGCCCATGAGCCTTGACCTCTGAGATACCCACATTCTGCCCCCTCAGTGTCTCCTGTACCTTGTCCTACTCAGTGCCCTTACTCCTACTCACAGCTACGTGCTGACCCTCATCACTGACGGCATGCGTAGTGTCCGAGCGTTTCACTTTGACAAGGCAGCTGCCAGTGTCCTTACCACCAGTGTGAGTAGTAGGGACAGGGTTGGGAGTGCCCTGGGTCTAGGTCTGGTTCTGCCCTTACCCACATGCCTCCCTCAGATGGTCACCATGGAGCCGGGTTACCTGTTCCTGGGCTCTCGTCTGGGCAATTCCCTCCTCCTCAAGTACACAGAAAAGCTGCAGGAGCCCCTGACCAGCTCTGTCCGTGAGGCTGCCGACAAGGTGAGTGCCTGCACTATGGGGCTCTGGTCCTCTCCTGCCATGACCCCTGTGTGTGGGGCAGCCTCAAGACTGATCACTCCCCTCTCTTGCCTCACAGGAAGAGCCTCCCTCCAAGAAGAAGCGAGTAGACTCCACAGTGGGCTGGACAGGTGAGAGGCTGGGCTGGGATGAGCAGGGGAGGGCCAAACTCCAGGGCTGGACTCAGCTGGATTTTTCTGCTTCAGGGAGCAAGTCAGCACCACAAGATGAGGTGGATGAGATTGAAGTATATGGCAGTGAGGCCCAGTCAGGCACACAGCTGGCCACCTACTCCTTTGAGGTGAGATTGGGCAAGGCAGTGGATAGCCATCCCCTTCAAGCCATCTGACTATCACTGTGTCCACAGGTATGTGACAGTATGCTCAACATTGGACCGTGTGCCAACGCTGCTGTTGGCGAGCCTGCCTTCCTCTCAGAAGAGGTACCAGAGGGGCTGGGACTGGGGTCATAGAGCCTGGAGGGTGGTGCGGGCAGCCACCTCCTTATTCCGCTCTGCAGTTTCAGAACAGCCCTGAGCCAGACCTGGAGATTGTGGTTTGTTCCGGCTATGGGAAGAATGGGGCCCTGTCGGTGCTGCAGGTATGTATAGGCAGGGGTGGGAGACTCCTGATGGAACTCGGGTGAGCCGACTTCTCATCCCCACCCCATCTTCATTCTAGAAGAGTATCCGGCCCCAGGTGGTGACAACCTTTGAACTTCCTGGCTGCTATGACATGTGGACAGTCATTGCCCCTGTGCGGAAGGAGGAGGTAGGTGAGACTGGGATGAGGAGGAGGCCCAGAACTGGCAGGGAATTATGCATATGGCACCTAGGGACAGTAGGGTTTAGGTGGTCACAGTCACACACTGCCCTTGCCAGACTGTGGCTCCTGCCCTGCCCCTCTTTGATCTTCACAGGAGGAAACACCCAAGGTCGAGAGCACAGAGCAGGAGCCTAGTGCCCCCAAAGCAGACGATGATGGGAGAAGGCACGGTTTCCTCATTCTGAGCCGGGAAGACTCGACCATGGTAAAAGGTGGGATCCAGGGCTGGGACCTGGGTTCCTTGGGAAAGGACACCACTCACCATTGTCATCACAGATCCTGCAGACAGGCCAGGAGATCATGGAGCTGGACACCAGTGGCTTTGCCACACAGGGCCCCACTGTCTTTGCTGGAAACATTGGGGACAATCGCTATATTGTCCAAGTGTCACCACTGGGTATCCGCCTGCTGGAAGGCGGTAAGTGGACAGATCTTTGTGAATGGGTCTCGAGGTGGTGTGTACTGGCTGCTCTACCCTCACTACCTTGTGCCCACAGTGAATCAACTGCACTTCATCCCTGTGGACTTGGGTGCCCCCATTGTGCAGTGTGCTGTGGCTGATCCTTACGTGGTCATCATGAGTGCTGAGGGCCACGTTACCATGTTTCTACTCAAGAGTGATTCATACAGTGGCCGCCACCACCGCCTGGCACTACACAAGCCTCCACTGCATCATGTAGGCCCCTTCTTTATTTTTTCTTTTTGGGTTTTTTTTTTTTTTTTTCTTTTTTTTTACCATATTCAATCTATTGATTATTAATAAGTAGAAGTTCTTTATATAATACAAACAAGAACTTCACG